CCGAAATGTCAGGTTTTATGCTCTACTGTTGGGGCCTGGCCCTGCTGTGTTCCCCCAGTTCCACACTTTGTTATCTCTGACTCCAGTATCTGAAGTTCTCGCTACAACAGGTCTCTTTTGGTGGGTTGTTCAACTACACAAGAAACAAATGTATGCTAGTACCTTAAGTTCATTAATGAGCGTCATTGGTGGATTGACACCATTTTTCTTTGCAGCATGCTGGAATATTGCTTCAGCTTCTTGTACCCTCCCCTTTGTCAGCAGCCAGCGTGGAGATTCGGGAATAAACCTGGTGTCAAAGTATTTTATTTTAACTGAGCCTCTAAATACTTGAAATAAATACCTTGATATGACATATAGTGCAAAGAGATCTAAAGGACTACAGCTTCGTCTGCATCAACACTTTTTAATAAACATTGCGTGGAAATAAAAATCTGTGGTCAAAATTGTTTCTTTCTGACACAATACACTGGGTTTTCACTCCCTCCGCGTAAATTTGTGTTTACATACCAGCATTCTACTCTTAATTCAGTCAATGGACAATACACATCGCAATAATGAAACATCTATCAAACTGATTTGAAAATAATTTCCTGAGGAAAATGAGCATCACATCTTTGGAAAGGGGGTGGCACGGTGGCTTAGTGGTTAGAACTGTTGCCTCACAGCACCAGGGACCTGGGTTTGATTCCAGCCTTGGTCAACTGTCTGTGCAGAGTTTGCACATTCTCCCTGTGTCTGCATGGGTTTCCTCCAGGTGCTCTGGTTTCCTCCCACAGTCCAAAGATGTGCTGGTTAGGTGGATTAGCCATGGTGTTCAGGCATGTGCAGATTAAGTGGGTTAAAGGGGTATGGGTCTGGGTGGGATGCTCTAAGGGTCAGTGTGGACTTGTTGGGCCAAAGGGCCTGTTTCTACACTGTAGGGATTCTATGAAGGAGATTCACAGGACTATTCTTTTTCAAAAACAAACATAATTGAAACATCATAAAGATTTAGACTCATCTCTTGATGAACTATACATGATCAGAAATTCTAATTGAAATCATCCAAGACATTTTCAGACAGAATGCAACTGTGGCACCCTCTGCAGGAATGTAAACTGGACTTCATAACTCCTTTCTGAATGAATGGTAAAAATAGTAGTCACATTAATATGCCATGTGGCAATATGGACGCCACCCACCTGTTTGGGAAGCGGTGGCGTTCTGTTTTGTATCTCTTCAGGAGGCCTGGTTTGTTTCAAACAGGCACTTACCTCCCATCAGATTAAGCCCTGAATAGGGCAGAATTACCACCTGCATCGACTACCACCAAATCAGAGGCTGGCAGTTTTCTAGTATGGGCATCATCAACAGAGTGGTTGCCATTGCCAGTGCCACACTGGGGACGACAGCAAGATCAGCAGATAGAGCTGAATATGGGTGGGGTAGGGATCATGAGGGTAAGTGGGAGGAAAGGAAAGGCTTTATGAAGTAACGGTAAGGAATGGCTTTATCCAGGGTTCCCCTTCCCCTAATGGAGCAAGGAGACCCCTTAAATTAGGGACTAGCTCCCCCTTTGCCCACTATTAAAGTCAGGAGAGTTAGCTGGGCAGCTTCTCTGCATATGAATTTGTTATCTACCATTATTTAAATGCTAATGGTTATGTGCTGCAGCACATAATTAGCCTTAAGTAATCAGTTAAGCAGCTCAATTAGCTTCTAGGTGGGAATGCTATCCACAAGTCTTCTGCTCAGGACATGAATGGAGGTAGGCAGGAGGGTGGTGAGATTTCTATCCCATGCCCTTCCCACCCAAATACATGGCAAACCATTCCTACGAAGGCATGAGAGACCAAAAAAACAAGTGTCCTGTTTACCTTTTTAACCTCTGCAACACATGCTTTTGTGCCATTGTGTCTAAAATATCTCTCCTTATTCTCTCTACTGAAATGCATCATGCTGCACTTCTCTATGTTAATTCCATCTTCTGCTTTTCTGTCCATTCTGCTGGTCTATGTCCTGTTGCACCTCCATTTTTTTTATCATCAACAAATTTTGAAATTTAACTCTCCAATATGAAAGCCATTTAGGTGGTCCTAGAATCGATCTTTGCAAAATAACAGTGTTTATCAACTTCTAGTATGAAAAAAACTTAACGTGCACCTCCTTCTTCTGAAGTCGACTTTTAAACTAAGTTGACTCTGAGTGTCCAATTCCATGAGCCCAATATTGTTAACCGAACTTTAATCGAACATCATCTTAGAATTTATTTAAGCAAACACTCTTTGCTGTTAGTTCATCAGTAAGTTCAGTTAGGTTAGAAAAGCATGATATGTCTATTATAGATCTGCAATCACTCCCCTTGATGTACTGAAACCTCTCCAAGAGCCTGCTGACTTTTCTTCCATGGTATTGTTTCAAAAGGTTACCCATCACTGATGTTAATCTGACTGACCTATAGCTAATAGGAAGCTCCTCAAACCAATTTTGCATAACAATATTAAATTTGAAAGTTTCTCATACTCTGGCACAGCCCTAGAATCTCAAGAAGATTGGGAAGCTATGTTGAGCCCTTCCAGTAGCTCCACATACTTGCTTTATCAACTTGGAATGAACAGGTCACCTACCCATTGTAGAATCTACTTAATTTTCAAATGTCAATTTCAATCTGGTAAAATTGGGTAATATTATAAACGACTGGATATGCATTCCATTCCATTATCTCCTCTGTGGTAAAGATGAAAATTGCTGCCATTGAATGCTTAGCCTCCCATCAGAGTTAAGGAGAAAAAAACGTAGAAAATAGGAGCAAGAGCAGGTCATTTGACCCTTCACAACTGCTCTGCCATTCAGTGTGACCATGTCTGAGCATCCAATTCAGTAGTCTATTCCTTCTTTTCCTCCATATTCTCTCATTCATTTAGACCCAAGTGCTACATTCAACTCCTTCTTGAAATTTACAGTATTAATTGTAATATTGCTTTAATATACTGTTCACGCTGATAAGCCATGCACACTCCTTTCCAACAAGCACTCGTCCTATTGGATGGAATCATTGACATAAGTTAGAAGCAATAAAAGTCCTCACATTGGTGATTATACAAGTTAAGGGTCCAGTTCCTACTTACCACCACAAAGGAATGTACACCAGGCCACTGAGAGACAAGATGAAAAGCAATATCCGCCAACTTCGTGTGAAATATGCAATCAAAGGCAGGGTCATGTAGCCAATTGCAAAAAAAATGCAAGTTCCCACAGTACCGAATATAACCCGAACTTTTTTCCTCAAAAGTTCTGATCCTGTAAAGTGAGAATAATCAGGTCAAGCACAACATCATTACCTGAATATATATACACACAAAATAGGACCAGATAGAGACCATTCAGCCCCTCAACCATTCAATAAAGTCATAGCTGATTTTTTTGTATTTCAAATTCCACATTTCCAGTTATCTTTTCATTACCTCTTAAGAATCTATTCTCCTCTACCTTAAAAACATTTGATGACCCTATCTACACCACCTTCTGAAGCTGAGAGTTCCAAAAATATGTAACACTTTGTGAGAAAATCAATTCTCCTAATCTCTGTCATAATTTTGAAACAGTGCCCTAGACCAGACTTCACTTACAAGAAGAAACATGGATTCTATGTCCATCTTGTGATGGTCATTCAGTATCTTATACAACTCTCATGTCACCCCTCATTCTTCTAACACCCCACTGGAAATAAGCCCAGCCTGTCCAACTTATCGTTATACAAAAACCCAATCATTAATGTATTGATCTAATAAAGTTCCTTTGAACCTGCCTCCAATGTATTTACATCCTTCCTCAAGCAAAGAGACCCAAACTACACATACAATGCACAATATGGTCTCTCAAATGCCCTGGATAACCAAAACATAACAACTTCACTTTTATGTTCAATTTCAAGAATGCACTCTATTAGATTTAAGTAATGACTTAATGCATAGAAGCATTAAAAAAATGGAAAATAGGAGCAAGAGTAGGACAATTGACCCTTCATGCCTGCTCTGTCATTCAATATGATCATGTCTGATCATTCAATTCAATAGCCTGTTTCTGCTTTTCATCTGTATTCTTTGATTCCTCGGCCCCAAGTGCTATATCCAACTCTTTCTTGAAATTTACAATGGTTTGGCCTTGACTGCTTTCTGTGATTGTGAATTCCACAGGTACACCACTCTCTGGGTGAAAAAGTTTCTTCTCATCTCAGTCCTAAATGATTTACCCCTGCATCTATCCTGTCTGGTCCTGTTAGAATTTTAAAGGTTTCTACGAGATTCCCCCTTAATGTTTTGAACTCCAACAAATATAATCCTAATTGATTCATACATCAGTCCTGCTGTCTTAAGGATCAGTATGGTAAACCTTTGCTGCACCCCTCCTATAGCAAGAACATCCTTTTACAGATAAGGAATCCAAAACTGCATGAAACATTCCGGGTGTGTTCTCACCAAGGCCCTGTATAATTGCAGCAAAACATCCCTGCGCCTGTATTAAGAAATCCTCTCGCTATGAAGGCCAAAATACCATTTGCACCCTTCACTGCCTGCTGCATCGATATTCTTACCTTCAGTGACTGGTGTACCAGGACACCCAAGTCATATTATACATTCCCCTCTCTCAATTTATAGCCATTCAGATAATAATCCAACTTCCTGCTTTTGCTTCAACGTGGATAACCTTATGTTTGTCCACATTAAACTGCATCTGACATGCATTTCTGTTCATTCACTCTGCTTGTCTAAATCACCTTGCAGCATCTCTCCATCCCCCTCACAGCTCACCCTCCCGCCCAGCTTAGTGTTTAACCTCTAGCTCATCAATTCTCAGTTGAATCTGCTTGAGTTGGACACACTTATTGCTGACATGTTTGCCCTACTTGCACTGACATCTAGGAGATCCCATATGCTGCAGGCTTGTCAATTCACCTGTCTTGCCATTCTTAAGATGTGTTTCTTAAATTAACTATTCAAATAATTTATCCAATTTATGTGACCTCACATAAGCAGAACCTCAAGATTTCTTTAGTGAAATTCTTTCTGAGTGTCTTTGATAATCGTGGCATTGTCACTATTGACATGCTTCCTGATAACTGATAATTGCAAGGTTTTTCATCACTATATTACTTACATCCTGCCTTAAGATGCAGGTGAGTTGATCAGGTTTTTGTTCCTATGGTTTCAGTCCCTTCATCCTTGTGTTCTCACAAAATTCCAGCAAGCAAAATAGCCAACTCAGTTTAATCCTACTGCACATTGTTAAACATAACAGACAGAACTGCAATCATCATATGCAACTTAAAATTAAACAGTAACATGTCATTTCAAGCTTTTAAGTCCATTCTACGGTATGTACTAAGCGCTCATGCATATTTGTGTTGCCGAGTTTGAAAAAATCCAGTCAGGTGCTCTGCCATCTACTGTCCCTTTCGGCCAAACTTGTTTCAATGTTTCCTCTTGTCTTAGCTATCAACTCACATCACTTCTGACCTTCTCTTCCATTATTCTGAACCCACAGTCTGTGCAGCTTTGACAATTGTTTATTTTATAATGCCTCTACTCAGTTATCCTATCAAAATTTCATGAATAGCTTTCATTAATAGAGGGATCGAGTTCAAGAGCCGTGAAGTTATGCCCCAGCTATACAAAAGTCTGGTTCGGCCACATCTGGAGTATTGTGTCCAGTTCTGGTCACCTCATTACAGGAAAGATGTGGAGGCATTGGAAAAGGTGCAGAGGAGATTTACCAGGATGTTGCCTGGAATGGAGGGAAGGTCTTACGAGGAAAGGTTGAGAGAGCTAGGGCTTTTCTCTTTAGAACGACGAAGGATGGGAGGTGACTTAATAGAGGTGTACAAAATGATCAGAGGTATAGATAGAGTGGACAGCCAGAGACGTTTTCCCTAGGGTGGAGGTATCTATTACGAGGGGGCATAGTTTTAAAGTGAGTGGAGGTAGATACAGGGGAGATGTTTGAGGTAGGTTCTTTACTCAGAGAGTAGGGGCGTGGAATGCATTGCCGGAGAGGGTAGTGGAGTCGGCCTCATTAGGGGCATTTGAGCGGCTATTAGATAGGCATATGGATGATAGTATAAGGTAGGGGTGGAGGTTAGATAGACCTTAGGATTAGGGTAAAAGTTCGGCACAACATCGTGGGCCAAAGGGCCTGTACTGTGCTGTACTGTTCTATGTTCTATGTTCTAAAATATATGACTTCACATGTCTCTGCATTACAGTTTATGGGCTATGTTTCCATCCATTTCAGCAGCCTATCTGCCTTCTCTTGGAGTCTATAACTGTACTCTTTGAAGTCAATAATAGTAGCAAGTTTTGTGCCATCTACAAATTTTGAAACTGTGCCCTGCTCACTTTAGTCTAGGTCATTCACAGATATCAAGAAAACAATGGCCCTAATAACAGTACGTGGACAACCCCACTGTATACATTTCTCTCATGTTCAAGATGGCGGCAGAGTGGCAGGGCTTTTGTCCAGGGCTCATCCACTCCCGCATGCTTTCTTTCTTTTTGTAATTTCTTTTCACTTTTGCGTTTTTTCTTTCATTTTTTTTCTTTTGTTTTCCTTTTCTTTGGAGTCTTTTGTGACAGGTCAGTTGGCAAAATAGGTGTGGCAGCTACAGCAGGCCATGTGTGGATTGGTGGCACCTCCCAGTGGTTGGAAGTGGCAGTGGACACAACAACAGGGTGTCCTCCTGCCATTTGGGGCTGGTGGCAGCAAAGCTCCTCCAGCGATCAGAGGTGGTGGCAACAGCGGACTTTCCAAGATGGCGGTGCCAGCAAGGCAAAACCTCAGAGGAGGGTGGCCGGAGCAGGATGCTTGGCAAGATGGCATCGGCAGCCTAGCCTGGCAGCAGAGGCAGTATCTCCTGGTTGCAGTAGGTCGAGAGTGGGAACTGCTGGTGGTGGCTGCTGTGTGGTATGGCCAGAGCTGGGACTCCTGTTTGCGGGGCGAGTGTGGGTTCCACATGAGACCTGGTATTGGCAGCGGAAGCGTAGAAGTGGACTGAGCGGCGAAGAGATGGCACCTAAACAGTGGCGACTCCAATGTTGGTGGGTCCTTCACAGGCAGTGGCAAGGTGGTAGAGGGGGAGTGGAAGTGCAGGTGTCATTGGTGAGCCAGCTCAGGGCTCAGGACTCTCTTTCAGTTATATACATAGAATCCCCACAGTACGGAAACAGGCCCTTCAGCCCAACAAGTCCACACTGACCCTCAGAGCAACCCGCCCAGGCCCACCCACCTGATCTACACATTAAGGAAGAGGATACTTCTCAGGTCAGAGCAATTTAGCATGGCCAACCCACCTAGCCTGCACATCTTTGGACTGTGGGAGGAAACCGGAGCACCCAAAGGAAACCCATGCAGACATGGGGAGAATGTGCAAACTCCACACAGACAGTCGCCCAAGGGTGGAATTGAACCCGGGTCCCTGGCGCTGTGAGGCAGCAGTGCTAACTACTGAGCCACCGTGCCATATCTTTTATTCTTTCTAATTGTAAAAACTATTCTCTTTCAGTTATATCTTTTATCCTTTTTATTCTTAAACAATTCAAAATGGCACTGGATTGTGGTGACTGTTGAATGTATTCACTGTATTTTGTTGTGATATTCACTGCAAAATGCAAGTGACAATAAATAAATCATTCATCATCATTCATCCTCCAATCCAAAAAACAGCTATTCAGCACTGTTCTGGTTCCTATCAAGTTTGTGTCCTTGATGCCATTGCACATTGTATTTCTTGGGTTTCAACTTTACTAGCAAGCCCAATATGTGGAACTTTATCAGGCACCTTTTATCCTTAGATCCCCATTCGAATAAAGGCATAGTATTTGCAATTCACCAGTCTCCAGCCACTTCCACCATTTCTAAGAAATGGAAAATTATAGCTAGTATCTGCAAATTTTCACCTTCATTTCCTCAGAATCTTTAGATAGAGTGATAGCATCATAGAAGTATGCATGACTCCCATATATCCCATCTGGCCCTGATGACTTATCAAGTTACACCTGGATTTTCAATTTTTCTTCATCAATTTTTAATCCATTCAGTATCTCAAATAATTGCTCTTCTGCTCTGACCTGAGAAGTATCCTCTTCCTTGATAAAGGCAGGATTAAATATTATTTAGCATCACAGCCTTTCCCATGTCTCTGTATGTGGGTCTCCTGTTTGGGTTCTAATTTGTCCCACACCTTCCCATATCAAACTTTCATTATTTACTCGTTAATATGAGACATTTAGATTTTATTACATGTTAGCTAGTAATCTCTTCTCACATGGTCTCTTTGCTTCAATTATTTTCATTTTCACTGCCACTCTGTGTTTGCTATATTTGTCCTGATTCTTATACGTATTACTAACTTTATATCTATCTTACATCGTATCATGGTATCTCTTCCTTCTGTGTATCATTGGTTGCCCTAAATTCTCTCTTATGGGAATGCACCATGACTGCACCCAAAAAAAATCTCCTCTTTAAGAGTGGACTGTATTCATTTTAAAGTTTTGCCAGTTAATCCTTGATTTCAATTTACCTGGACCTGATGAGTTCTCACCCCAACTGAGATTGATGTTCCTTTAATTTCATATTTTTACTCCTGGTTTTTTTTAAGGTTTCCATAAACAACCTGAACTATATGATATCGTGATCACTGTTTCCTGAATGTTCTCCGATTGGTACTTGATTCACTTGATGCACCTAATTCCACAGAATGCATCCTACCTGTTTAAGCTAGAAACATACAGATCAAGAAAATTCTTCTAAAGACACTTCAGAAACTTTTCCACTCTCTGATTTATACAACATGACTATCCCAGTCTCCACTAGGAAAATGTGCCTTAGGGTAGAACTTGAAGTAACAATGCCTCATTTTGCAGTTTTTACCAATGTATAGCAATCCTGCATTAAATAAATGATGTTGAATTTTCTCTGCGTGCCACTGGACTTAATGACAGACCAAAGAGTTGGAGGAAAAAATGCCTCAGGTGCTTACACTGGTCTTGGCAAGATTTAAAAACACTTCTGCAACTTATAGGATGAGCGTTTGCTTCTAAGAGCTGTTGGCCAATTGAAAGGACTGCAACCTGCCTAGGATTCTAGTAGTAGACCCTGACCTTGTAGCAAGGTAACTAGGGCCATGTATTGAAGGAAAGATGTGCTGGCCTTGGAGGGGTTTCCAGAGGAGGTTTACAAAAATGATCCCGGGGATGAAAGTTTTGTCATGATGAGGACTCTGGGTCTGTACTTAGTGGAGTTTAGAAGGATGAGGGAGGACCTCATTGAAACTTACAGAATACTGAGAGGCCTGGATAGAGTGGATGAGAAGAAAATGTTTCCACTAGTATGAGAGATTAGGACCTGAGAGCACAGATCTAGACTGAAGGGACAAACCTTTAGAACGGAGATGAGGGAGAATTTCTTCAGCCAGACAGAAGTGAATCTGTGGCACTCGAATACCACAGAAGGCTGTGGAAGCCAAGTCACTGATTATATTTAAGACAGAGATATATAGGTTTTCGATTGATAAGGGGATCAAGGGTTAAAGGGAAAAGGCAGGAGAATGGGTTTGAGAAATTTATCAGCTGTGATCGGATAGAGGAGCAGACCTGAGGGGCCGAATGCTCGAATTCTGCTCCTATATATTTTATGGTCTTAAGGTGTTATGGGGCCAGTCCATAATGGGGGGCTTGGGAGGATGTAAGGTCAATGAGGATTGAGGGGAAGTGTTTTACTTAAGGGACTGCCATCACAACTAGGATGTCTCTCCATGCGCCATAAAGGACCTGATTAGGAGGGAAATCTGCACCCACTCAAGAAACCTCAATATTTTTCTTGTATTTTTCTTTTTTTTGTGGTGGAACTGTGACTTGAGGTTAGGGTCAGTTAAATTTGAATAGCTCTGTGTTTTAAAAGAATGAAAACAAATGTGTATGTTTGCTGTTGGGGCCTCATCTGGAATAGTATGGATCCATGGAACACTGTAGACAAATTGGACTGAGGTATTGATTGCTCAGGACTGACAGCCAGTTGGATGTTGCATTGGCCAATCAGGGGAGGAAGGTTTGAGCTATAGGGAGAGGCTGAAAAGGAGTGTCAAAGGCTGAGGGGTGACCTTATAGAGATTCATAATATCATGAGGGGCATGAATGGGGTGCATAGCCAGGGTTTTTTTATCCCACAGTAGGGGAGTCCAAAACTAGAGGGCACAGGTTTAAGGTGAGAGGGGAAATATTTAAAAGAGACCTGAGGGACAACTTTTTAACAAGAGGATGGTGTGTGTTTGGACCAAGTTGCCAGAGGAAGCGGTGGAGGAGGGTGAAATTACAACATTTAAAAAGCATCTGGATGAGTATATAAATAGGAAGGGTTTAGCTGGATATGAACCAAATGCTGGCAAGTGGTACTAGATCACTTTAAAATTTCTGGTCAGTGTGGATGATTGGACTGAAGGATCTGTATCTGTTCTGTATAACTCTATGACTTGGGTTAGTCAGCCAATTGCAGAGAATGTTGATTAAAAAAAGCAAAAGAGGTAGAGAACCGATCTGACTGGTTCTGACAAGTACAGACTGGTTGCTGAAACTTCCAGAGAGTGCGGATGTGTTTTACTCTTTCTATTTTTATATCCAGGTACTGGATTGTTGAATGTTCTGAGAAAAGAAAATCCCAGTTTGCAAGAAAGAACTAAATATTTTTTGAAGTTCACTGAATTGGTGACAAAGGTAAATAAACATTTTTACTATCTGTGAACAACTCATTATCCAAGGATTTCATGAATGTTTGGCAGCCATCATCTGATACTGTTTAATTAAACTGGTAAATTACAGTTCTTTTATTCTTTTTAAATTTATCCCTTAACTATGTCTGCCTGCCTGTGAGTGAATAGTGTTTATAGTCAAAGAAGAGTGTTAAAATCCTAAATATTAATCAGCTTTCTTTGTACTTTGTCTTAGTCCTGCTAAAGTGGCAGATCAATAATACATCATTAATTTTTGTTTACATTACAAAAATTGGTATCCAAGATCTCTAATTCATAAAGTCTAGTTATGAGCAATTAGATAATTGTGAGGGTCATGGAATATTTTAATTTAACTGTGTTGAGAATGCAGTGATAATAGGATTCATTCATTTTTCCTTTCCTTTCCCTCTGTTGTAACACTACCAAGGTTCCAGCAGAGGTAGAAAGGTGCCCTTAATTGACTACTTAAGACTGAATTCAAATTTCAGAATATTCTACCAGTCTTCTGGGTCAATGTCTGGAAAATGGTGCCATAACAGGAGTGGCAGAATCAACAAAGATTTTGAGGAAAGGACGAATAAAAGTACTGAGGGTAGGTATTTACCAAGAACAAATGCAGTCACATAGTTTGAAATCTGTCCAAAGCCCACAAGGAAATTCAGCAGGCAAAATATTTCCCAGTTTGGAGAGAGCAGTTGAACTAGGCTAAATCCAGTCTGTGTAGCCATAGTTCCAAACAGAACTATCTTTCTCCCAAACCTGCAAAGCAGAAGCAAATAAAGGTCATCTGGTTAATCATATGCTGAAACATTTCTACATGTATATAGACAGAAGTCACATGACACCGGGTTATAGTCCAACAGGTTTATTTGAAATCACAAGCTTTCAGAGTACTTCTCCTTTGTCACCTGAAAAAAGAGCAGCGCTAGGAAAGCTTGTGATTTCAAATAAACCTGTTGGACTATAACCTGGTGTCATGTGACTTCTGACTGTCCACCCCAGTCCAACACTGGCACCTCCACATCATACATATACACATGCACTCCATTGGTATCTATAATTATCTCAATTACATAGAAGTCATACAAATAAACATGAACTTCTCTACTTATGTGTAGATTTACCCTAAAAATAGGATTAAAAACCTATCAGAGACAGTAGGAACTGCTGATGCTGGAGAATCTGAGACAATAAGGTGTAAAGCTGGATGAACACAGCAGGCCAAGCAGCATCAGAGGAGCAGGAAAGCTGATGTTTCGGGCCTAGACCCTTCTTCAGAAATGGGGGAGGGGAAGGGGGTTCTGAAATAAATAGGGAGAGAGGGGGAGGCGGATGGAAAATGGATAAAGGAGCAGATAGGTGGAGAGGAGACGGACAGGTCAAGGAGGCGGGGATGGAGCCAGTAAAAGTGAGTGTAGGTGGGGAGTTAGGGTGGGGGTTGGTCAGTCCAGGGAGGACGGACAAGTCAAGGAGGTGGGATGAGGCTGGTAGGTGGGGATGGATGTTGGGGTGGGAGAAAGGACGGACAGGTTAGAGAGGCGGGGACAGCTGGGCTGGTTTTGGGGAGATTTTGAAGCTTGTGAAGTCCACATTGATACCATTGGGCTGCAGGGTTCCCAAGCGAAATATGAGGTGCTGTTCCTGCAACCTTCGGGTGGCATCATTGTGGCACTAGAGGAGACCCAGGATAGACATGTCGTCCAAGGAGTGGGAGGGGGAGTTGAAGTGGCTCGTGACTGGGAGGTGCAGTAGTTTGTCACGAACCGAGCGTAGGTGTTCCACAAAGCGGTCTCCAAGCCTCTGCTTGGTTTCTCCAATGTCGAGGAGACCACTTTGGGAACAGTGGATACAGTATACCACATTAGCAGATGATTGGTGTACATCTGTTTGATGTGGAAGGTTTTCTTGGGGCCTGGGATGGGGGTGAGGGGGGCAGTGTAGGGGCAGGTGTAGCACTTCCTGTGGTTGCAGGGAAAAGTGCTGGGTGTGGTGGGGCTGGTGGGGAGTGTGGAGCGGACAAGAGAGTCACGGAGAGAGTGGTCCCTCTGGAATGCAGATAAGGGTGGGGAGGGAAAAATGTCTTTGGTGGTGGGATCAGATTACAGATGGCGGAAGTGCCGGAGGATGATGTGTTGGATCCGGAGGTTAGTGGGGTGGTACGTGAGAATGAGGGGGATTCCGTTTTGGTTGTTATTGCGGGGAGGGGGTGTGAGGGATGAGTTGCAGGAAACGCGAGAGACCCGGTTGAGGGCGTTTTCGACAACTGTGGAGGGGAAGTTGCGCTCCTTGAAAAATGAGGACATCTGAGATGTCCGGGAGTGGAATGCCTCATCTTGGGAGCAGATGCAGTGGAGGCGAAGGAATTGGGAATAGGGGATGGCATTTTTGCAGCAAGGTGGGTGGGAGAAGGTGTATTCTAGGTAACTGTGGAATTCGGTAGGCTTGAAATGGATATCGGTTGCCAGAGATGGAAACAGAGAGGTCCAGGAAAGAGAGAGAGGTATCAGAGATGGTCCAGGTGGACTTCAGCTCGGGGTGGAAGGTGTTGGTGAAGTGGATGAACTGTTCGAGCTCCTCGTGGGAGCACGAGGCGGCGCCAATACAGTCATTGATGTAACGGAGGAAGAGGTGGGGGATAGGGCCAGTGTAGATTTGGAAGATGGATTGTTCCATGTATCCTACAAAGAGGTAGGCATAACCTGGGCCCATGCGGGTACCCATGGCCACCCCCTTTGTCTGTAGGAAATGGGAGGAATTGAAGGAGAAGTTGTTAAGGGTGAGGACGAGTTCAGCTAAGCGGATAAGGGTGTCAGTGGACGGGGACTGGTCGGGCCTGCGGGACAGGAAGAAGTGGAGGGCCTTTAGGTCATCTGCATGGGGAATGCAAGTGTATAGGGACTGGACGTCCATGGTAAAGATGAGGTGTTGTGGACTAGGGAATCGGAAGTTTTGGAGGAGTTGGAGGGCGTGGGTGGTGTCACGGACGTAGGTGGGGAGTTCCTGGACCAAGGGGGAGAAAATGGAGTCGAGATAATTGCAGATAAGTTCAGTGGGGCAGGAGCAGGTGGAGACAATAGGTCGACCAGGGCAGTTGGGTTTGTGGATTTTGGGAAGGAGATAGAAACGGGCGGTGCGGGGTTTGGGAACGATGAGGTTGGAGGCTGAGGGTGGGAGGTCACCTGAAGTGATGAGGTTGTGGATGTTTTGGGAGCTGATGTTTTGGTGGTCGGGGTTGGGGTCATGATCAAGGGGACGGTAGGAGGAGGTGTTGGAGAGTTGGCATCTGGCCTCGGCGATGTAGAGGTCAGTGCACCATACTACAACTGCAATAATACAATTACATACTACAATAGTACAACATACTACAACCTATGATCTTTTTGTCATATGCCTATTGAAACCTTGGTAAGGATTTGCCACAAGCAGTAAAAATTTATGACCTAGACATAACAGAACTCAGTCTTATATTTGGAGTTTTGAAATGACCTGTTGCTCACAAAAAAACTGCTATCAGTAGTTGAGGGAATAAGTTGGGAGGTGGAGTCAGGAGTTCCCAAATCTATTTCACTGAAATAGATCACGTGTAGGGTACATGCTAAAATATTTGGAGAGGTTTTGTATACCTACCGGGCAAAGAGCAGAGCTGAGGCTAGCTTTTTAGCGAGGATGGTGAGGTACAATTCTGGCTTGTTTTCTGAAGGAAAAGGTTTCAAGTTTTACTTTTAAATTTTATGCAACCCCGCCACCCCCCCTCCCCCCACCTCCCCTCTCCCCCGCCTCCACCAACCCCTTATAAAGACGACCATAGCAAGCTCTGGAAGATATTTACTTGGATAGCATCCTGCACCCCTCTCTAGCCTACTACTTCTTTTATATTTTTTCCATGCACATAAAATGACAGACTTGTAGGTAGTGTATTCCAGACCCTAACTACACGCTGAGTGACATCGCATTTGCTACTTTGGTGAATTGCTTTGAACCTGTGCCGACTCATTCCCAACTTTTTGAGTGGGAACAGTTTCTCCTCATCTACTCTGTCCAATTATCAAATCTACACTTAGCTGTCTCCTGTCTGAGAAAAAGAGTCGCCATTTCCCCAATCTGTCTTCATTACTGAAGTTTCTTATCTCTGGAAGCATTCTCATGAGCCACTTTTGCACTGTCTCCACTCTTTTCCTTTGTGTAGCACCCAGGATAATGTTCCAGCTGAGGTCTACCTGGCATCTTTTCCAAGCTGAACAGAATCTCCTTGCTCTTATTTTCTATACCCAATTTGGCCACCGTGCATAACAATTGAGCTCAAGAGGCATTTTGAAAAATTATATATTTGGAACATGGCCATTAGCCAGACAAAATGTTGTTACCTATCTGTAGATATCCCAAATAACAATTTGATACAACTAACTGGTTTATTAAAACACTTCAGAAGAAAATTGAGTCAATGACATTGGTATGAGACTGGAAATGTATGTAAAAGCTATTCCTATCAATTATAGCGATTTCCTTCCCTAAAAGACCTCACTGAACTTGTTAGATTTTAATGATAATCAAGGTTTCACTAATATTAGCTGTTTATTTCCATTTATTTTAACAACTATTAATTCCTTGTGCCAGGGTTTGAGTTCGTGATCTACTTAACTATCAGAAAAAGTCTCTGGTGTCCTAGTTCAATAATATAACCACCACATCATTCTTCAATTCCAGTGTGTCTGCCATTGCTTTAATAATGAAGGACTTGCATTTTCTACATGAATTTCAGTGACAGAGGCACTGAAGCAAATGCAATTCTGTTCAAAGTCAAGTGGTGTCATTTCTGAAGCTTCTGTCCTTCTTTCCCAGGTTTCTCTCTTTTAATTGCTCCAATCAGGTTGGTCCCATGTGATTGTATTGAAACAGCTCTTATCAGAGTTATACATGTATTCTGTGTTACAGAGACAAAGATGAACTGTCCCTTCTCTTCTTTCAACACCTGACTGCAGCATTTGATAAGGCTGATCACATGATCTTCCTCCAATGCTTTTCCACCACCATGCAGCTAGGTGGGGTTGCACATGTTTATCTCATCTTAGCCAGAGAGTAAATTGCCTTCCTGCTCCTGCATGCTTACCCCAGATGATCCCCAACGAACTAGCCATGGCCTTCCTATATCTCCACTACATGCTGCCCCTCAACAATAGAGCACAGTGTCAGTTTTCATAGGTCTGTCTCTTCTATCCATGATTTCTACATCATTGAACAGCTCATCTAACTTTCAGAGCTGAATGAACAAAAGATTCTTCCAATTAAATATTGGAAAAACCAAAACCAATGAATTTGGATCTTGTTACAAACTCTGCTCTCCAGTTACTAACTTCCATCCTCTGCATTGCAAATAACTGAGACCATGGTATCATATTTGCTCATGAGATGAGCCATGTTTCCACATGATTATTAAGACCATCTACTTCAGATTCATAACATTTCCTAATTCTGCCTTGCCTAACCTAATCTATTGATGAATGCATGCTTAATATCTTTGTACATTAAGTCTTGACGATTTCAAAGAACATCGGTCTAGCCTCCCACATTCTACGATACTAAAACTTATGATCATTGAAAATCACACCCCATTGTCCAACTCCTACCAAACTCCATTAATCCATCACCCTTTTGCCACTAACATACACTGGTTCCCGTTTAAGCTCTGCCTCAACTTTAATCTTGTTTTCGAACCCCTCAATGGCTTTGCCCTGTCTCTATCTCTGTTGGTACGTCCTGCTGCACAACAGTCTGAGAACTTCTAAAAAATGATTCATGAGCTGTGTGCATCAGTGTGAAGGCAATGAGATGGACATGGTAGCTAAATCTGCTGATAACACAAAGATAGGGAGGAAAGTAAATTGTGAACAGGAGATAAGAATGATATGAAAGTGGCATGGATAGATCAAGTCAGTGGCAAAAGATCTGACAAATGTAGTATAATGTGGGGAAATAAGTAGAAATATTCATCTTTTGACAGGAAGAATAACAAAGAAGCATTTAAATGGTGAGATAACAAGGTGTAGAGCTGGATGAACACAGCAGGCCAAGCAGCATCATAGGAGCAGGAAGGCTGATGTTTCGGGCCTAGACCCTTCATCTCCTGCTTTTTTATTCTTCGTAGGATCCACAACCTGAACTCACAATTCTACTCAGCTTTATTGGACACTAAAAACCGTAAGTACAGTAAACTTACTGATGCCTGCCACCCAAAACAGGCTTCCACCACCCCCCAAATCCCCAACCCTACCCAGGACCTTCCTCACAATGTGCCCGCCGCCATTGGCCATGAGACCACTGTTCGAGAGCCCACAGATGACATCACATCTGCCACCGCCGGGTACCCCACTTCCGGGACAGCAAACGCCATTGCTGCTGATGCCACCGCCTCCATTTCTGAGACCACCACCGCAGACACTGAAGACGCACCTACCGTCACCGCTGCTGCCGCCGCCTACCCAACTCACCCACCGCCGATGCTACTCCGCCCACCGCCGACGCTACTCCGCCCACCGCAGACGCCGACGCAACTCCGCCTACAGCTGACGCCGACGTCGCTCCGCCCACAGCCTCCACAGCCAGCAGCTCCACAGGAGACAGCAACACCCAGCCCTGCCGAGTCTTCACCATCCCCCCAGACCTCCCCCTTACTGAGGACGAATGGACAGTCCTCAGTAAAGGGCTCACCTTTGTCACCCTCCACCCACACATCAACGAATACCGATCACGTTTGGACATTGAGCAGTTTTTCCGCCGCCTCCGCCTCCGCCTCCACGCTTACTTCTTCAACCGTGAACCTAACCCTCCCTCTACTGACCCCTTCTCCCGCCTCCAACACACCCTCTCCTCCTGGACACCACCCCAAGGGCTCCTACCCTCCCTCGACCTCTTCATCTCCAACTGCCGTCGAGACATCAATCGCCTCAACCTCTCCACCCCTCTCACTGACTCCAACCTCTTCCCTGCAGAACATGCAGCCCTCCGCTCCAATCCCAACCTCACCATAAAACCCGCGGATAAGGGAGGCGCAGTTGTTGACCTCTACATCGCCGAGGCCGGACGCCAACTCTCCGACACCTCCTCCTACCGCACCCTTGATCATGACCCCACCCCCAAGCACCAAACCATCATCTCCCAAAACATCCACAACCTCATCACCTCAGGTGACCTCCCACCCACGGCCTCCAACCTCATCGTTCCCCAACCCCGCACCGCCCGCTTCTATCTCCTTCCCAAAATCCACAAACCTGACTGCCCTGGTCGACCCATTGTCTCTGCCTGCTCCTGCCCCACCGAACTTACCTCCATCTATCTGGACTCCATTTTCTCCCCCTTGGTCCAGGAACTCCCTACCTACATCCGTGACACCATCCACGCCCTCCACCTCCTCCAGAACTTCCAATTCCCCTGTCCCCAACACCTCATCTTTACCATGGACGTCCAGTCCCTATACACCTGCATTCCCCATACAGATGGCCTAAAGGCCCTCTGCTTCTTCCTGTCCCGCAGGCCTGACCAGTCTCCCTCCACTGACACCCTTATCCGCTTAGCCGAACTCGTCCTCACCCTCAGAAACTTCTCTTTCAATTCCTCCCACTTCCTACAGACAAAGGGGGTGGCCATGGGTACCCGCATGGGCCCAAGCTTTGCCTGCCTCTTTGTAGGTTACATGGAACAATCCCTCTTCCGTACCTCCACTGGCCCTAAACCCCACCTCTTCCTCTGTTACATTGCATTTCTGATGAAGGGTCTAGGCCCGAAACGTCAGCCTTCCTGCTCCTATGATGCTGCTTGGCCTGCTGTGTTCATCCAGCTCTACACCTTGTTATCTCAGATTCTCCAGCATCTGCAGTTCCTACTATCTTTAAATGGTGAGAGATTGCAGAGCTTTAGGGCTGAAGAGTAATCTGGGTCTTTTAGTGCCTATAACACAAAAGGTTACCATACAGGTGCAGCAATTAATAAGAAAGCTAACAGAATGTCACTGTTTGCTGTAAGTGAAGTTGATTATAAAAGTAGGTAGGGTTATGCTCCAGTTGTCAAGCATATTTGTGGGACCATATCTTGATTATGGGGTATGGAGTTGTTTCCTTGTAGGCTAGATTTCACTCCACTAGTATTTAGAAATGTAAGAGAAATTTTGAGTCCAGCATCTAAAATGTTGAAGGCCTTGCCAGGATGGATGGGAAAAGGATGCTTCTCTTTGCGGGTGAATCTAGGATTAGGGGTCACTGCTTAAAAATAAGGGGTCACAAATTTAATGACAAAAACAAGGAGATTTTTTTTCTCACGGTGGGTGCCATGTGGTTTTGGAACTGCCTTTCTGAAAGGTGGTGAAAGCAGAATGTTTGAATGTTTTTTAAGGCAGAGGTGGATAGATTCTTGGTATGCAAAGTATAATGTGTTAGCAATGGTCGACGGGATTATGGAGTTATCAGCTCAACCATTATCTTATTCAATGGCAAATCAGGCTCAAGGAGCCAAATAACTAATCCTTCTCATAACTTTTAAGCTCATATGTTCACATGTTGCTTATCCCTAATTATTCTTCAGAAGGTGGTGGTGAGCCACCTTATTGTACTACTGCAGTCCATCTTCTCTCAAGATACTCGCAGGAGGAGTTCTAGGTTTTTAATGCTGTGACAGTGAAGGAATGGTATTATGGTTCAGAATGGTGTGTGCTTTGGAATTGGTGTTCCTTTGGTGTGCTGCCTGTCTTTCTAGGTGATGTAAGCTTTGGGATATGGCCACTAACAACTTCCACCCTACACTCTAATTCACTTGGTCTATCTCAGACACCTCCCTCCCTTTTCCTGACTTCTCCGGTTCCATTTCTCGCAACAGTTTACGGACTGACATCTACTATAAACCCACAGGCTCCCATAGCTACCTAGATGACACCTCCTCCCACCCTGTATCCTGCAAACACTCCATCCCATTTTCCCAATTCCTCCATCTCCATCGCATCTGCGCTGGTGAGGAGACGTTCCAATCCCAAGCATCCCAGATGTCTGCCTTTTTCAAACAATGTTCTTTTCCCCCCTCTGTCATCCAGACAGCCCTCCACTGTGCCTCCTCCATTCCCCGCTCCACAGCTTTTAACCCTCCCTTCCAAGCATAATAAAGATAGCATTCCCCCATGTCCTCACTTTCCACCCTATCAGCCTCAGCATCTAACATATCATCCTCAAACACTTCTGCTAACTCCAATTAGACCCCACCATTCGGAACATTTTCCATTCCCCGTCCCCCTCTGCTTTCCACAAGGACCATTCCCTTCGCCACTCCTTAGTTCGTGCCACACTCCCCACCAACCACTCCAACCTGCCTGATACCTTCCCTTGTAACTGTAAAAGATGCAACACCTGCCCACACACCACTTCCCTCACCTCCATCCAGGGCCTGAAACAGTCCTTCCAGGTGAGACAGAGTTTCACCTGCATCTCCTCCAACCTAGTCTATTGCCTCCGGTGCTCCCAATGTGGTCTTCCATACGGCGGTGAGACCAAATGTAGACAAGGTGACTGTTTTGCTGAACATCTCCACCTGGCCCGTAATGGCCATCCTAACCTCCCGGTCACCGCCTATTTCAACTCCGTGCCCCAATCCCCTTCCAACGTGTCTGTCCTCGGCCTCCTCCAGTGTCGCAGCGACCTGGAACACAAATCTGAAGAACAACACCTTATCTTCTGCCTGGGCACCCTACAGCCTGGAGGACTCAACATTGAGTTCTCCAATTTCAAATAACTTTCCCACCCATCACCTGGCTGCCCTTCCACCCCACGTCCTTCCTTCCATTCCACCTTCTGACCCTCCCTTCCAGCCACCAACCAGATTTAACCCTCCCATCGACCAACCAGATTGTACCTACCATCAGTGTCCACCTACCACCACCATTCCGCTACCACCCCTCCCCCCATCCCTCTTTATCTGCAGCTCCCCCTACCCCCCATCCAGTCCTAACGAAGAGTAATACCCAAAACGCTGACTGCTCCTTTCCTCCAGATGCTGCCTGCCTTGGTGCTTATTTCAAACCTCCTGTTTGTCTACCTGTCATTGAAGATACTTGTTGACTTGATGATTCAGGATTTAGTGAAAACCAGAGATAGGTTACACACCACAGAATTCCAGGCCTCTGACATTTTTTAAATTCATTCTCTAATGAGAATAATGCTCTTCATACGGTACTGTAGCCACATTATTTTAAAATTTATTTATTATGTCAAGTTTAGTCTTATGGTCAATGATAACACCTAGTTTGTTAGTAATCTGGGATTTAGCAAAGATATCAATGCCTAGAGGTAATTGTTAGTTCTCTGTTATTGGAGATGGTTATTGTCTGACATATGTGTGGCACAATTGTTATTTTTCACTTGTCAGCCCAAGCCTGAATCTTGTCCAAGCTTGCTGCATATAGAAATGATCGCTTCAGTATCATAGGAGATAGGCATAGTGCTGAACATTGTGTGGTCATCAGTGAACATGCCCACTTGTGACCTTATGATGGAGGGAAGGTCAATAATGAAGCAACTAACAAAAGCAAGGGTGCTTGAAAAGCTCAGCAGGTCTTGCAGCATCTGTGAAGGAAAAAACAGAGTTAACGCTTTGAGTCCAGTGACCCTTCCTCAGACCCAAACCCAAATCCCAGACTCTGTTTTTTCCTTCACAGATGTTGCCAGACCTGCTGAGCTTTTCCAGCAACTTTGTTTTTATTCCTGATTTACAGCATCCGCAGTTCTTTTGGCTTTTAATGAAGTAACTAAAGTTGGCAGTGCCTAGGCCACTATCATAAGGAACTCCTGCAGAAATGTCCTATGACTGAGGGGGTTAACCTCAAAAAACCTCAGCTGTCCTGATTCATTTTGAGTATAACTACAACTCGTGGAGAGATTTTCCCCTGAATCCATTAACTGCTGTTTTCTGACCAAGCTGCCATATGGAATTTTGTCAAAAGTCTCACTAAATTCTATGACGACTACATCAAATTTTATCCCCCACCAACCACCACCCCCAACTCCTCCACTCTTACTGCCTCAGGAATGTTAAATTTGTCAGAAACAAGCTTCCCTTAAAAAAATGTATAGTGTCCTTGATTAACTTGTGCCTTTTTTAACTGACAACTTATACTGTGCTTAAGAATTCTTTCTAATAATTTTCCTATCATCATGGTAGGCTGACTGATATGTAATAGATCAAATTAATATTTACAGACTATTTATTCTTATGCACAAATTATTTTCCAATGTGGCTATGAGGATTAAGGAGGTGTAATTGCACTGCATTGATAGTAAAAGCATGAACACATTTGGTCAAATATAGGATCCTAACATGTAGAAATGCATTCCTACAATCAAAGTGACTTTATTTTACCACATCTTTAACCCAGGAACCTATTCATTAGGATTTCAATACTGGCTGATACCAGATATGGAGGGGCTTATACCAGATATGGAGGGGTTATTTTATGGGGAGAGGTTGAGTAGATTGGGCCTGTACCGATTGGAATATAGAATGTTAGGTGACCTTAATGATACATATAAGATTCTTAGGTGACATGATGGGTTAGATGTGGAAAGGTTGTTTAAGGCAGCGGATGTTGTAAACAGAACACAATTATTGAATTATGCATTCAGTTCTGACTTAAACAATGCTCTTTCCCACTTATACTATTTTTGTCAGATGTGGAGAATAAGTATTAAGCTCAAAACTGGCAGAGTTCAATAGAAAAATAATTTACCTGTCTGATAACTGTCCACAACACAAAGAACCAACCAGCACTCCCATGAAAAATACAGACATAACAAATGGTCCTTTCCAGTCATCATCACACACCAAATTCCACTGAAACACAAAGCAAACAGAAAATGTTATAAATGTGATTTGGGGCAAGTTACAGAGAAATTATTTAATTGCATTGAATCTAAGGATGGTAGGATGTAGTAAACCTAGTTCAGCAAGCTGGCTGCACGATTAGCTTGGGTTAAGTGGAAGTACCTACGCTTTAAACCTGTGGTTTGAAACCTCCTTCAGAGCCTTGAGTGCATGATCCATCTAGGCTAACATTTTAATTCAGCACTGAGGTAGTTCAGTTTTCTGGATGGCATATTAAAATGTGATCCCAGCTGCCCTCTCAGGTTGATGAAGTCAGAAGTCACACGACACCAGGTTATAGTCCAATAGGTTTATTTGAAATCACAAGCTTTCCGAGCGTAGCCCCTTCACCAGGTGTAGTGAGAGAGAAGCACACAGAACATAGAATTTATGGGCAGAAAGATCAAAAGCAGAGAGATCAAAAGATCAAACAAATGGTGTGAGTGGAATGTTGAATAATAAGTCCCTGCAGGTGATCCGAAGCATTAGATGGTGTGAGTAAAGTTTCAGCAGCTGAATAACTGGTGAAGGGATTACCAATAATCTGATTAAATGAGGCAGAGAGATAACTACAAAAAATGAAAAATAAGGTGGTGCTAGAGACAAACAATATGACTGGAATAGCATGATAGGTATAAGAGTTGCATGATGACGGTCTAACTGAAGTAATAAGTAATCCAAAACTGTACAAACAAATTAAAGTAGAGAGATCATTGCAATTTATCCAGGTGATGGTGACAATACAGGGCCATAAGGAAGATTTTACAGATACAGAGCAATGTGGTGAGGTCACGTATAGCGCAACATGAACCCAATATCACGGTTGAGGCCATCTTCATGGGTAAGGAACTTGGCTCTCAGTTCTGCTCAGTGATCCTGCATTGTTGTGTATCTCAAAGACCGCCTTGGAGGACACTTACGTGAAGGTTGGAAATTGAATGTCCTTAGCCGCTGAAGTGTTCCCTGACTGGGAGGGAACATTCCTGTCTAGCAATTGCTGCTTGCATATGATGCTCAACTCATCGATCACCAGTTCCGAAGTGCCACAGCAAAAAACCAAAATGACCTCCTCAGAAGACAGACACTGGATATGACAATAGAGTACCCTTCGTCACCCAGTACTTCCCTGGAGTGGAGAGACTATGCCATGGTCTTCACAGCTTTCAACGTGTCATTGGTGATGACGAGCATCTTGCCTAGATCATCCCTACACCTCCATTCTCACCTTCAAACAACTGGCAAATGTTAAATGGACAATCGTTCGCAGCAAACTACCCAGCCTTCAGGAGAACATTGACCACAACACTATACAATCCTGCTACAGCAACCTCTGCAAAACATGTCAGATCATCGACATGGACACCACCATCACACGTGGGAACACCACCCACCAAGTACACAGTAGATACTCATGTGACTCAGCCAATGTTGTCTATGTCATACACTGCAGGCAAGGATGCCTGAGGCATGGTACATTGGCGAGACCATGCAGATGCGACAACAACGGATGAATGGACACCGTGCAACAATCGTCAGACAGGAATGTTCCCTCCCAGTCGGGGAGCACTTCAGCGGTCAAGGACATTCAGTTTCTAAACTTCAGGTAAGTGTCCTCCAAGACGGCCTTTGAGATACACAACAACACAGAATCACTGAGCAGAAATTGATAGTCAATTTCCGTACCCACGAAAACGGCCTCAACCATGATTTTGGGTTCATGCTGCGCTACTTGTGGCCCCACCACACTGTTCAGTCTCTGTAAAATCTTCCTTATGGCCCTGTTTTGTCACCATCACCTGGATAAATTATGATATCTCTACCTTAATTTGTTTGTACAGTTTTGGATTACTTATCACTTTGGTTAGACTCTTGCCATGCTTATACCTACCATGTTATTCTCGTCATTCGGTTTGTCTCCAGCACCACCTTATTTTTAATATTTCGGTAATTATCTGTCCACCTCATTTAATTGGATTATAGGTCATCCATTCAGCTGTTGACAGTTTACTCACACTGTCTAACACTTTGGATCACCTGCAGGGACTTATTATTCGATACTCCACTCAAACCATTTGTATGGTCTTTTGATCTCTCTGCCCTTGATCTCTCTGCCCATAAATTCTGTGTTCTGTGTGCTTCTCTCTGCTTTTATCTGGTGAAGGGGCGATGCTCGGAAAGCTTGTGATTTCAAATAAACCCATTGGACTATAACCTGGGGTCGTGTGACTTCTGACTTTGTTCACCTCAGTCTAATGTCGGCACTCGACATCACTCTTAGGTAGATGGAAAACATTCTACGGCACTATTTAAAGATAAGCAGGATAGCTTTCCGGTCAACATTTATTTCTCAACCAATATTACTGAGAGAGATTATCCGTTTGGTCATTTCATTGTTTGTGGATGTTGTTGCCACATTTGTCTATATATGATGAACAGAAATCATCTTTCACAGGTTACTATTCGAGCGCTTCAAGATATTTTAAAGTCGTTAAAGGACATGTGCTGAGGAATACACTAAAGCTTGGGGCAGATAC